TAGCTGCTAAACATTACCAACATATTAGCGAAATATATTTAGTAGTTGCTGCGTGCACTGTCACTCCAGTCGATCGTGCCTATACATTCACATCATAACTTTCACGATACTTATGTATCGAAATTCATGAAAAGGATTTTCCATCAACTGGTCAATATTTATATACTTAAGGTTAAGTAATTTTTGAGGGTTGAAAAATAAAACTGTATCAAAGTATTCATAAAATCAAGATTTATAATATACAATATCTTCGTATTTTTCGTAGTGTTTCCCTGTAATGTAATCTGCAAAACCATCTTTCGAGAAGACTCCAGAACTGGTTCCAAGTTCATTTTCATGCACATATCTGGCTAGAGGCTGCAACATAAATAGTATAATTTAACTTACTTGATCCAATTGAACATAGATTTTTCTATAGATTCTATAGATACTGTACCTACTTAATGTTTTTTGTATTTTGTCATTATGTCAAATTAATGCACTTTATCATTCAGAATTTAGTATAGTTCTTTGTTCTACTTTTGACGCATTTATTATGTACGATAAAATTATCGATACGGGAACAATCATGTACATCACTATTTTTTAATGAAAATTGTTTTAGACGTATTTCAACTAAAATTAATGAAAATAAGCACTGCATTAGTTAGAAAAGTATTGTATTTAGTCAATTTGCAGCAACCACACTTGAATAGTTTGAAAAACAGAGATATTTTAATGAAAAATAACAGTACTTACCGATGTAATGTTACACCTGCCGGTTTAGTAATATTTTTAGTGCTACATCCAATAACACTGCACCCGGGCATAGTTCTTCTCACTAACCAATAATTTCTTTGTTTACCACGCACAAAAACAACAGGAATTCTACAAATTTTCGTAACAAAATATTGTTGACCAATGCTTTGACAGCTGATGTACCACTGACATGCACTGATAACAGGGACTAAGATGGCCAATTCGGCACAACTAGGTTTTTCTGATGACGTCAAAAAATTATGGCCAGAATGACAATAATGTGTTGTCTCTTTCTGCAAAAGCAAAGAGACATAAGTAAAAAAGAAACAACAGTATGTTTATGAATTTACCGTCAAGATGGATCCTAAATTCTACCCGTAGACAATAGCCAGACATCTATGTTATATTTATAAATCTATGTGCCAGACACACTTGTATGTCGTGTCGCGTGGGTTGCCAAATGCTTGCAGAGCGGGGCCCAATAGGCCCCACTCTAGTAGTGTAATTATAGTGAAAATATGCTGCCATACAATACCTACATTCTTGAAGTGAAGATAGTTTCTGTATTTTAATATTTATGATTTAAAAGTTTATTATGAGATTTATTAAGCAGTTATATGATTTGATGACATTATTATTAATTGTCATCATTTAAACCCAGTAAATAAGAGTAGTTGTTTAAATATGGCGTCAAGTATATAGTAGGGAGAGTATATGCATCATATCAATTAGAAGATTCCCTACTTTGACCGTCGTGACATTAGACATCGGATTAGATTGAGCTAAAGCTGTATTAAGCGGCGGCATGCGGCATTTCGTGCAACTAGGAGAGAAACTTTTGTATTGCAATGGACGTTTTCCGGTTGTTAATGATGATGATGTGTCGCCTCGTGACAAATGTAGCTCTATCCCAGTTGTCGCCCGTCAATCAGCGATGCGATCCTCTTGCGGACGACTGCTTATGAGCATTACACACATCATAACGGCCACCACCACGCTAGGGTGTGATACGACGCTCCATAACATACAGTGTGGCTCTAACCATCGTAAATGTATGAAATTAATAGACTTCATACATTCTAGTACCACACCATACAGGTCCACGCCAATATATTTCCAGCATTAAACTTTAAATGGACTGGCAACATTTTTAGAATCATAACTCTGTAGTCTATGCCTTCTCTTTGACAACTGTCACCTCTTCTAGAAATTAGTCTCTTTTTTCGGTGGGCCGTGTTAGCGGAACGAGGTGATTATTTATAATTTGTTGTTTTATGTGATTATTTTGTAGAATAAGTGCTAATTTACTTGTGTCATTGCATTGTAATAATATGAGTGTAAATAAGAATATTAAATATGTAACAATTTCCCAGATGAAAGTGGATTTTGTGAACATAACCTGTAAATGCCTTAGAGTAGATCATAGCGATTTCTTCATAAATTGTTATGAATGGACAATTAGGCTATATTAACGCCATGAGCCTAGATTCCCAAGTGTATTAGCCTTTTCTGATTAATTGGGTGTTGGGCACTTGCAACGGTTTGTGGCTACAAACTTAAAACTTCAGTAACTGCATGTAAAGGTTTCGATTACAGCGTTGGAAAACTCCATCGCCCCATAACATCTGTTGTAGGTATAATTATTGGTTTGTGATTGACTTGTCGGCGTGAAACTTTACCAGTGTTGTAACATTGCAGCTCGCCAAGATGGTGAACAACAGAGTACCGTCGGTATTCTCCAAAACCTATGTGACGCCTCGTCGTCCCTTCGAGAAGGCGCGTCTCGACCAGGAGTTGAAGATCATCGGAGAGTATGGTCTGCGCAACAAGCGTGAGGTATGGCGCGTAAAGTACACGCTTGCCCGCATCCGTAAGGCTGCCCGTGAGCTGCTCACCCTCGAGGAGAAGGACCCCAAGAGGTTGTTCGAAGGTAAGATAAGCTAAAGATAATGTCTACCGTGTTAAAGACTATTCCCTAATCCTCAACAACCACATTTTTGTGAATTTTTGAAGGTTGTATTACCTAACCATGTGTTATGTTTTTTTACTGTTTAAATGATGAAAAAATCTGGCAACCTCTTATCTGAAGAAAAATGTTGATCACATAATTTACTGACAATTATTTTTACAATACTTATATGTAAAATGCTGAATAAGCAACATGTCTGAAATAATATCTTGATGTCTCCAGGTAACGCGCTTCTGCGTCGTCTTGTCAGGATCGGAGTATTGGATGAGAAGCAGATGAAGCTCGATTATGTGCTCGGTCTGAAGATCGAGGACTTCTTGGAGCGCCGTCTGCAGACCCAGGTGTTCAAGGCCGGTCTCGCTAAGTCCATCCATCATGCCCGTATCCTCATCAGACAGAGGCACATCCGGTAAGTTGTTTTTGTATACATTATGAAGTGAAAAACCGAATTACATAATATATTTTATTGGCCATGCAGTAAAAAGAATAAGATTAAACATTTTTCAGAGTAATCAGCTGATTGATTATGGCATATCTGAATTAACACAAAATTATGGAATACAGGTGAACTTACATGCTGGCAGCAGCTGCCTGGTTTTGGCTCTTATTCTAAAAGACCACTTGGCTTCCAACACTGTTGGAGTCAATGTCTTGAAATATTTATAAGCTCTGTGAGCTTTACTAAGGTAAGGTCTAAACATACAGTCCTTAACCAGATCTCGTGAATGAGCAGGGTGATCCTGGTAATTGCGCAGACATTTGAGACTTAAATGACCTGCTGGACTTACAGTGCATTATTAACTGATTTCAAGTGATATAAACTGTGCAAGTTATTTTATAAATAAGTAGCTGAGGTAGCCCGGAGATATGGCTTCTGCAGTTTGATCAGGAGGGTGCGGGTTCGAAACCTACCTATGTGACATTTTGAGTTATACATGCATTCAATGTTTATTTAGACACATATTTGGTAGTAACCTAGACTTAGAAATATTTTGCAATCATAGTAATTTACTCTTTCTTTCTCCATTTGAGAAGGGGCCTTTGTCTTTTTAAGGCTGCTGAAGATGATTCATTATTTTAAAATATTAATATTCTAAATTGTTGTTCTCAGTGTACGCAAACAAGTGGTGAACATTCCTTCATTCATTGTTCGCCTGGACAGTGGCAAACACATTGACTTCTCCCTGAAGTCGCCCTTCGGTGGCGGCAGGCCCGGTCGCGTCAAGAGGAAGAACCTGCGCAAGGGACAGGGTGGCGGCGCCGCTGCTGATGAGGAGGAGGATTAGACAATAAATGAGTGTTTATTATCTCACTTTCTGACTATTATTTTATACACTACCTTCTACAATTACATCATTAAATTACTAAATAATACTGGTAGTACTGCCTCGGCCGAGGCGTCACAATTGCGACTGCCCGACAAAAGGTCTCTGGTTCGATTCCGGGGTCAGGCAAAATGATACCGAGTTTAAACTGTCAAATACCAAGCGGTCACCGGTGACCGCAACCTATTGTTCTATAATTGTGTCTACAAAACCGGTACTCGACGAGTTAAAAAATATCTCAGTAGGTAAGTAGCACGGAGTCTGGAATTGTGTCCAGTATATGGCAATAGGCTCACCCCTTATTATATGGGACTCTTAACATAAATAGTGAAAAATGGGTGTTACATTGTACAGTGGCATTGCCGTAATGTGCACCTCTGCCTATCACATCGGGGATAAAATGCGTGATGTTGATTGTTAGTGTACCTACTGGTAGGATTTTACTTTTTTTTTAATTTACCTTTTGGATTATCAACATGCAAGGCATCTCATGAATCGGGCGAACGAAACTAGATGTGCGAAACTGTATGGTCGTCGTCCAACAGAAGCAGCGTATCTAAATAGAAGCGTATAATCAGAGTTGGGCGTAATCAACTACTTTTGTAATCGGATTAATAATCTGTTTGAAAGTACCTAATCATGATTACATCAATCATGATTACTTTTAATCTTGGTAACTTTCAATCATGACTACATTTGTAATCATTAGTTTTGAATACAATAGTCAGTAATCTTAATAAATGGGTAGATTGGATTAATTTTTTAAACATATTTTTAATAAATGCGGTTCTATATTCAATCAGTATGTATGTCTAAGTTTTTCTAAAAACTTCTGATCCAATTTGGATGTCATGGACGTTTTGTACTCTTTCGTTATTTAACTCGTCGAGTACCGGTTTTGTAGACACAATTATAGAACAATAGGTTGCGGTCACCGGTGACCGCTTGGTGTTTGACAGTTTAAACTGTCTACAAAACCGGTACTCGACGAGTTAAATCCATAAGTAAATTCGAAAAAGAATTTCTGCGTGCGTTTCGAAGATATGGCACGCGGGGTTCGGGAGTTGGGTGGGATACGGGGTACGGCCGGTAAGCCAATCGTCCGCCGCCTGCACCCCGCTTCTTGCCATAGCGCAAGCGGCCAAGCGGTCAGTCTGTATAATAGTGCGGAAGGATATAAACGTAAATTGATTCACGAGTCTAAACCGTGACGTATTGGCCTATGTGTTTTGGTGTTTAAACATTATTATTGTAAAATCAGTATTTATTGTAAAATGGCGTCAAGTTCTTTTTCGTATTTATCTACTAATTCAGAATCTGAAACCGTGCACCATGAACAACTTGAGACATTACCATGCATTCTTGATGGAAAATTTTTTACGTATTCAGAATCGGAGTCTACGAAGAAAAAGAAAGTGGCAATTTGTACATTATGTCGGCCAAAACTAGTTAAAATTAGTGGTTTTAATAATTCTACATCAAATTTTGTAACTCATCTCAAACGAAGACATGGGGAAGAAACACACAACGAGTATCAGAGTTACTTGAAAACTATGAAAAAAAATAAACGGTCTACTAGAACATCCAACCAACTGCAACCAGATATTAGAGATGGTAGTACTAGTGATGTACCTATACCTACTGATCGAACGATTTCACAGGACCAATTTAATGAAAATATATTTAAGTTTTTTATTCATTCTATGATTCCTTTACAAGCAATAGACGATCACTTTTTTAAAAAAATCTTTGCTGATTTAAATATCTCTGCAAATGGATTGTACGTTCCCAGTAGAAGAACTTTGGGTCGATTGATTGATGATTACTTTAATAAGGAAATTACAAAAATCAAGAGTGAATTGCGCAATGTAGATGAAGTCTGCACAACTGCCGATATCTGGTCGGCAAAAACAAGAAGTTTTTTGGGCGTTACCGCACACTGGCTCGACACAAATCTGAAACGGAAGTCGGAAACACTGGCTTGTCGAAGATTTTCAGGTACGCACAGCTACGACCGTATAGCTCTTTTACTTGACGCAGTACATGCTGAATTTGGTCTCGACTCCCGGAAAGTGCTGGCTGCAGTTACTGATAACGGTAGTAATTTTGTAAAAGCATTTAAAGAGTTTGGCATAGACTTGGAAAATTGTGAAAATTTTACTCATAACATTGATGACAATTCAGAACCCGCTGAAAGTTCTATCCTCGAAGAAGATTCTCACATCGATGTCATTTCTGTGGCACACTTTAGTACTTATAATGAAGTTGATTCGCTAGCTTTTGACGAAAATATTATTCCACAGTCAATAATACTAGAATTGCCTGTACATTTAAGGTGTTGTGCAAACAAGCTAAACTTATGTGCCACTACGGACGCCAATAAAGTATTACAAAATAACGACACAAGTATTGGCAATATTCATAATCAAGTTATTAAAAAATGCAACAACTTATGGAACTCCGCCAGCCGGCCTAAATCGGCTGAAATAATACTTGACATTGTTGGTCATACCCTTTCCAAACCGGGAATCACTAGATGGAACAGCCTTTATGATTCACTGAAACAAATTGCATCAATACAGGAGAAGAGTGTACAGCTGCACGTGGCGTTAGGAATGACAAACGTTTTACGAGATGATGATTTCCATTACATAAAGGAATACTTGCGTTGTTCAAAACCAATAGCAGAGGCCCTGGATATATTACAAGGCGAACAAGACATGTATTACGGTATATTATTGCCATGTTTAGTATCTTTGCGCAAAAAGTTGCAAAAACTGAATAGAGAATCTCTTACTTTTTGTCAAATGTTGGTAAAGAAATATTTGGAGAGCGTAGAAACGCGATTTGCAGAGTTTTTTGATTTCTCCTCAAAAGTAGCTCAAAATGCAGCAGTTGCTGCAATGTCTTATCCCAGATTCAAGGACAAATGGCTTGCTTGTGTTAATATAGAATACCATTCCAGAATCAAATCTATTTTTAAAGGAGCTGTAATCAAGGAAATCCATGAGGCACCTGAAACGCTTCAAGTCACACCTAATAATATATATGAAGACAGATATTTTGAGTTTGACACTGATTCTTCAGAGCCTGATTCGGGAGATATGAACCAAATACAACGTTCAAAGGCAGATGCCATTATTTCTCATTTTTTAGCGGACCAGGATCGGGATGTATCGATGCTAATTCGATACCCTGAAATTAAACGTGTTTTTAAAAAATATAACACACCTCTTCCGTCATCGGGTCCTGTTGAAAGACTTTTCTCATATGCGACCATGACCAATTTACCTAAATCACACAGACTTTCGGATGAGATGTTTGAAAAGAGGGTGCTTTTAAAATCTAATTTAAGCCACACATGGCACACATAAAAAAATTCTTGATTGTTTTCTTAAGTATAATAATTATTAAAAAACTTAGACTAATCAAAAAATAAAGATGATTTACAATGTTAATGATTTTATTTTTCGAATTCCTAATTGTAGTTAGTATCATCAATCAAAAACGTAATCAAAATAACGATTACAAACTAATAATCATTAATCACCGATATGATTACTTTCTTGATTAATTTCCGTAATCTGTAATCTTGATTGATGATTACAAAATGTAATCGTAATCCTTAATCATTAATCTGATTAGGTACAATTTGCCCAACTCTGCGTATAATTATACTGTTCAAACGGCGCATTGTAGTTCAGTCATGTGGCAGTCCCACCTGGAATGTGTTCCGGGAGTTTTGAAAAGAAACTGTTTTTAACTTTTTCTTCTTTATTACACCGGAAAAGAGAAAAATGGCGGCGCGAGCGGCGTTTGTACGAGGGTGTTAGTATAATAGAAATCAGAAAGAGCACATCAAAATCTACAATGCCAATTTTCAAAACTTCCGGAAAACATTCCAGGCAACCCCACATTACCTTTTTTGATCGAACTAAAATGAACAATGTAGGTACATACAAAATGTTGGTAGGTACCTAGTAAGTACCTACAAAAGTGCATGGTAAATGGTAACTTAGAACTAATAACTACATAACTAAGGGAATAAATAAATCGTGTAAACATAAAAGACTGTTAAAAACATTAGTAAATCAAACAAAAGATAAAGTTATACAACACCACTACAAAGTGTACTCAAAATTATTAAAAAAATGTGTAAAAATATCTAAAAAACAAAACTACTCACAAGAAATGGATGT